AGACAGGATGCGAATGGAGGGGAAGAAGAAAGAAACGGAGCTCGGGGGAGGGGAGAGCAGAAAGAGTTGCAGAGGGAGAAGGGAGGGGGGGAAGTTATCGGAATCGGAGTGGTGAAGGGGGTGAGAAAGAGGAAAAAAAAAAAGAAAAGAAAAGAAAAAAAGAAAAAGAAAAAAAAAATTATGTGTGGGGAGGGATATCGGGGGGGCAAAAAAGATTTTTTGTTTTATTTTTTTAATGGAGAAAAAGAAAATTCAGAATTTTATTTGATTTTCCAATTTTCCCAAAAAAGAACGTGCTCGACCCAAATCGGCTGCTTTTCTTGGAGATTCACCGGTCGGGTTCCGTGGGGGAGATTTAATTTATTTTGTCATGTCTATTCTTACTCTTGGTATACTGATAAATGATCCTATAAAGGATATATAGGATTTATTCTGTCATATGAAGACATCGCGTTCCTACACCCTTCCTCTGGAAGAATATGGGTGGTCCTTTCGAGCCCTGCATGGGAGCAAAAGTCTTCTCAGTCTGACCGGGACAAGAAAAGAGACATTCAAAAAGGGAAAAGACAAGGTGGGGCGGACTAGAGTCGATAGAGATTACGGAGTAGAAACTGGAACTGCAGAAATGGGCTGTGTGGTCTGGAGAAGTGCGTGCCCCGTGGCCCAGGTAGGGTCACAGTGGTAAAATATTTGGTAAGGGCTCGAACCATCCGGCTATCGCGGATGGGAAACACAATTGCACCGGATTCCCAAGCGCGGATGATTCTGACGCGATCGGGTTTCTCTTTTGGCTGTTGTTCCCCTTACTATGTCCATTGTTACGTAGACCTCTACGTACCTAGGTAGGTACCTAATAGGTGTGCAGAGTTCTTATCATTGTTACAACCCAGGAAGATAACCCCACGAACCCCATGTGATATTCCCCAGATATCATCCGGTACCAGCACTCGGGGTCGAGATGGATGGTCCAGATGAACTATACTCTACAATTAAGGCCAGCGCCGGCTGAAAAGAGAGGCAAGAATATGATGACATCTGCAGAAGTGATGATGAGAAGGGAAACAGTGATGACGACGACCCAAGAAACTCTCACGTCTTATTTCATGCTTGGTGTCGTTCCCCTCCTTCAGCCGGGCCAGCTGGTCTAGAATAATAGATCGACCGCTGAGATAAGAAACCTCCCCCAAACGCCCGGGGCGACAGATGGCGTCGATCCTGGGAGGTGCTGATGTCAAAAGGAGGTTGGGTCGAGAGAGTCGATCTCCAATTCTACAGCTGGTATACTTCATCATTCATCATCGCCGCAGTCGAGAAGGTCTGGGGGAAAGCTGGTCGGCGGTGTTCACTGGCGGGCGGAGGTGAACGCGACGAAAATAAGCCGGGATGACTCAAGCGCAGGAAACAATAATAACTAGCACGGGATGATTGCATCAGCCGTCCATCATCGAGTAGGACAATGGGCCAACGTCTGCCTCGGGTTGTCGATATCGACTCACCGCGTGAACCATGTTTTCCTTCACAGTGGCAATTCTGCTCGAACTACCTTACTTCTGCCCCGGGGAGTCTCCGATACTACGACACACGGGTCAAACGCCGCCAATTACCCGGTGGAAGTCCGCTGCGATCTTGGTAAATAACCGCTCCCTGATCATGCCCCAGATGAGTGGCGCGATAATGGGCGCATGCTATCTGCGACGACCCCTTGGGAAAATCGCCTGAATGGTGAAACTTGCCTGCGACCACTGCCAACCGCCGTCCACAGGCGTCTGGCAGGATCCGTCGGCTAATGAACTCCACGATTCCATCCCCAGATCCACTTTTTGGGGGGGGGGGGGGGGGGGGGGGTTTTTCCCCGAATAATATGGATAATAAAAAATTGTGGGACGGATTCTCCGAGCCAACTCCTCGTCACGGAACTTCTTCGGTCATTTACGTCTGAGGTGCAACAGTAGTCTTGGCTCAGTGGAATTGTGGTCCCCGGATATTGTGTCCAACATTTGGGGCTGGGTGGGTTCAGCTCGGATGAACCTGGGGAAGCCAAGCCGCCAGGAAAAAGAAAGATACGGACTCGGTAACTCGATCCACAGGGGACGAGAGGATGAGATGACGAGATGAGCTGATGTGTACAGAAGGCTGTGCCGCCACGTCTGCGTTGGCCCATTTGGCGGCTGATTGGAGTTGGATTTTCATTATGTAGTATCGATGACTATCTGTTTCTGGTTGACTTTTTTAGGTAATCCGGCGACTCCAGAGATGATGTACATCGTATAAGATGAGCCTTTAATGGACTGGGGTGGACATCATCCCTACCGCGCGCTCTGCAAGGGTTCTGGGCGGCGACCCCAGACGAATCGCCGAGAGGCCAGTTGGCGGGATCCAAGCCCGCGGGCAAGCTGCACGGAGCCGTCCTCAGCTGGTCGGTTAGTGGCCGATCCTGGAACGCCCGGGCGGTCCAGGCTGCTGACTATGGGGATGGATACGTCCATAGGAGAGTGCCTAGGGAGAAGATGAAACTTGTCACACCCACGGCAGGTATCAGCATGGGATTTGGTCGTGATAGGGTAGAGTCGGCGGGATCAGACCAGCTGAAGAACGAGGGGAAGGGCTAATGGGATGGGCCAGATAAGAAGGACAAAAGTACTCTACAGATAGTTCAGGATGCGTATGTCGTTCCCTGCGTGATCTCAGCAGTCTCAAGGTCTCCAAGTATGTAGGTCCTCCGTAGGATCCTTATCTTCGTGGGGGTCATGTTCCAAGGTCACCGGTAACCTCAGCCGGTGCCGGTCCGACTGCCGAGTGACCATTATTATTACCTGTGGTATTATTTTTGCCCTCTTAGTTCCCCCACCACTCTGCCGCCACTAGGTATACCAACTGGAGACAGGTGGGACAAATGGGATGCACGAGACGGGGCACTGGCACGCAGGTACCGATGCCAATCCCCCCTAGGGAGTGACCGATAAGCATGGAATGATTTCCCGCTTTTGCCGACTGTGTCTGGGGCAGTCACTGCAAGTCACCTCTTGTCACGAGCGCCAGGGCCGCCGACTGACTGGCCAGAGATTTGTACTCCGTATCTTGATAACCCTTATGTAACGACTAGTAGTTAGACAGCGGGTCACATGTTGACCCCATGCACTATTGCGATCATCCCTATAGTTGGCAGCCAGGTGCGCTCCGGGTATCTAGGGGTAAAATACCTACAGTAGTAGGTAGAGAACCCACCTGCAATCCCCATGGAGAGAAGAAGACTTTTCCGGTAGTCCGCTGTCTCTCTCCAAAACTTTCCCGACCTGGTCACTTGGGCGAACTTTTGGAACTGAAGATCTTCCCCGCGATCATCGCCCAGCGATCTGCATTCCGATTTGGTCGTTACCATTAGACCAACACCTATCGGCGTATCGCGAGTTGGAGGATTTAGACCTGCGGGCTATTCGGTCCGCATTCTACCGACCAACCTTGACCATTCCTTCTGTCCGTCTGTATAGGATACGATGAAACAGGGACAGCTCCATCCAGGCTCCAAGAACACGCAAACGCCAAGGATGTGTGCGAGCCGTTTATCCGTGGATGATCGCACTAGTTACCTAACTCGAGCTGGCGGGTTTTACCCTATTAATCGAGCTCGGGCGTTCGTCCGGGGCTAAATCGCAGCTCCCCCACTTCTACCTACACCCTGTCTGTAGTAGACGAATTCTGCTGCCTGAGTCGCTGGAAAAGACGACTCCCCCATGGGGCTTGTGGCCTGCAGCGCTAAGACGATCGACCGGTGGATGGTTATTGCCAACATGACGGAAAAACGGGGTGGTTCGAGCCGGAAGGGTTGGGTTGGGTGCTCGTATCACTGCCTAGTCGGGTGCGGAGACTGAGCCCATTATCTGGGGGAGACCGCTCCGGTGCGAAAAAGTCGAACCCACTGATTTACCTAATGATATGGTTTTGACTTCCGGGGAAGTTTTCTGGATGTGCCCATTTCCCGACATCGCAGGTCAGTCGTCTCGCCTCGCCAGCGCGGCCGATTTCGCATCTACGCATTGCATCACATAGGGCGACGATCTTGCCGCGACCATTGGACAAGCATCGGGGAATCATGGGGGAATCATGCACGCCTGCAGCAAGCGTCATATCAGGCGGGAGGGAGGGGGGCAGGGAGATCATCTTCGCTCGTCACCGGGACGGCGTTGCGTGATTCCCGCGGTCTGTGTGGGGTAGAACTGGACTGTCGGAATCATCAGATCGTCCGATGGAGGTGACGATGATGGTGTCAGGCCATCCGGTTTCCCTCGACGGCCTGCGCGGTCCAATGATGGCCGTATGGGCAACGAGAGATGAAACATTGAGGATGGAAAACACTTGCTCCCATGAAAGTCCAGACGCTGACCGGCTGCAGACGTAATGTCTGCACAGCGGTGATCTGGCGATGATGCGCGGTCAGGGCGAAAGCAATATCCCAGCGCCATCCAATCTGGACGCGCAGCAGCCAGGTCTCGGGTTATCTGATGCGGAGGTGCCTATTGTATGATACTATTACCTTATTATCATCATCATTATTATTTTACTTTGTATTTTCTGAGTCTGCGTGGCCCAGTCGTTGCCGATGCCCGCCTCACTGTCCGTGTGTTTTCCATCGCGAGAGAAGCGTCGCACAATCTGGTCTGGAACCACTGGAGCGCAAGCCGCCTGGTCCGTCGCAGGCGCCAAGGGGGGTGACACACATTGTTGGATGGACTTTCCACCTTGAGTGCTGTCTGCAAGCCGTTCCTAAGCGTCGAGGCTAGGAGCATACTCGTGGATGTTTCCGTCGATGCGTTGACTCCATGCCTGGCAGCATTACATAAACAAACATACCCATGGTCTGTCCTAAAAGAGTATCCCGGGTTGTGCCGCGCGGCTCAGGCCGTCCAGAATGGCAACCAGTCACGCATGAGCGTGAGAGGTGCGGATTAGGGGCTCGACGTATCCTGTCGTTTGGGACGGAATGGATGTCAAACCCTGTCAGGGTGGTAGAGGCATTCCAACGACGGTGACATCTGGGATGCTTGGCAGGTATGTGCGGGGACGGTGGGAATCTGGGGAAGCAGTTGGGAAATTACGTGATTTCGGAAGGATCAAGACCTGGTAGGTTTGGAGATAGGGATATCATCGGAGATTGAACTTTGCGATAGTACGGTAGTATCAATGCATGTATTTAGTTGATCAGATCCTATCGAGTTTAGGTAGGTAGGTAGGTGATAGCTAAGAGATACCTAGGGTACCTTAGTAGTAGGCACCTACCTAATTGGGGTAAATTACCAGAGGTACAACACACTGTAACGCAGTACCAACACGGCCCCCACGCTTACAGCGACGCACCGTGACCCACAAGGCACCAAGGCCAGCGATCGGGAGATCCACAAGCTTCTGGAACAGTGGGCGGGAGCCAATCAGACTGAGGAATGGTATCACGCTGATATCACCGGTATATTTTAGGATATTAATTTTATTTTCCATCGATTGCGTATTGTAGTATTTTGCCTAGTAACTACTCCGTACTCCGGCATAATTTACTTCTCTAGCTATTTATTTCTGGTATATGATTCATCCCCAGGTTCTTCTGCGGGGCCGCTCATCCGGATTCCGGACGCTCTCCTGACTGGCTGGGTGGTATCTAGCTGGAATGAGAGGCCGGTCCGGTTATTGGTGGAAATGGCACGGTCGTTATCAGCATCCTCCGCTGGAATCTTTCTTATCCTGATAGAGAGTGGTAGAATGGCCAGAGCCGGATCGGATGATGTTCGTACTGTGGGTGTGGGACAAGAACCCCCAAGGTCCTATGTACGGAGTACTTACAACCCGGCAGAATGTGGAGGGAGAGTTTTCTCCCGCCTGGGCTGAGCTGAAACCACGGCACGTCTCCCTCCCCGGAGAAACCAGCCCGAGGTTTTCCCAATTCTTGGATAAAGTCGTTGAGAATACTGCAGAATTTTTTTGCTCCATATCAAACCCTCTGAACCAATGTTCTTGACATGTGAGAACCCCCTGAGGCAACGGCGACGCCGGCCGGATTGCCGTGCGGGTAAATAATAATAATAATAATAAAAATAATAATATTAATACATAATAGTGATGATCCGGGGATTGCGACTCCCAGGCTTGGCACCCCATGAATGACACGTCGCCTGAAAACAGCCTGGCCGGGAAGGAAGGTTCAGCGATCCGTCATTACACAATGAACAATTCTCGCCATCTTCCATCTGCATTCTATTATACCTACGCAAGAGTCCATCCGTACACTGCACTCCATACCCTAGTGAGAACTAGTGGCAAGCTTGGACGGGGGGAGATACTCTTAGAGGCAGGACCACATTCCAGGAGTCAGGGGAACTCTCGACACTACTGTACTATCTGCAACTAAGTGGAATCGGTCTCTTGACTCTCTTTCCCTGTCTCCTAGTTCGATCGTACGATGATTAGGGCACTCCAACCAGCTGCCTGTAGCAGGAGAATGGCTTGTGATATCGACGTCGACTTTCACATGGCCTCTCTGGCCCTATCCAATCCTTCATCGGCTGATCCGCGTCCAACCCTGGATTCATCAGCCTCGACCCGACCCAAGTCGGCTCTACGGAGCACAGTCCTGCTGTGTCGACCGAATTGGGGCCTCCTGAAAAATCCTTGACCGCCAGTATAGCGGGGCAGCGGGGGGACAATAGGTACTCCGTAATGCAGGAAGAAAAATTCTAGCCTGCCAGCAACCCAAGAAAAAAGGGACCGAACGGAAGATGGCCGGATTGCGTCATGAGCAATGATTTGCCGCTAATCCAGGAGTCGAGACATGGGCCTGCTTTAGTGGCGCGCACTGCCGCCTTTCTAGACGACAATCTCCCGCGTCTGAGCACGGATCTGGAGGTTGAAGACGATTAGTTAAGCCAGATGGCTTTCCTAGATTCTCCGATGGGTTCAACTTCATGCTCTGGTGTGCTCGGTGGAAGTGATATCCGGCCACGTTGAACCGCGCATTGGGTGGCGGAATCTGACAGGTACCAAAGCATCATCGGCACCCAACAATAAAAAGGCGCGAGAAAGAGGTATGCAAGCGCAGCCGTCAGAATCTTCACTATCCGCAATCGGATGATTTCGGAGCCACCGCTTTGAGTGCGGAGAAAGTCCTTACCTAACAACAGACTAACCCTTTCCCCCTCTTCTTCCTCCCCCAAAGGGTTCCTCGGTGAAAAGAGCGAGGGAAAAAAACAGGAGTCTCGTCCTCCGTGAAACGGAGGAATCGCCTCCGCTTGGCCTCCAGCGTCTCCGTGCAAACCTTCCCTTGGGGCGACCCTCTCCGTTTCTGTCACTATCCCCGAACCTCCCCCTTCTGGTCTGGTCTGCTTTCTCCAACCACGGGTGTGGAGGCTCCTTTTCTCCTCGGCATCCTCGGCCCCGAGTGCTCGCTCTTCTTCTCTTCCCCCTTGCCGACCCTGTCCCGAATCCCGTGGTGGACTGAGCGCCTCGGACTGGGCCATGTCTGTCTGGGTCGGCCGATTACCGTTCTGGGGAATCGTGTAACTATTCCCTGTCAGATGTGTCGTGCCATCGTCCCTCGGTATTTCCTCTTTGGTCGATTTCCTCATGCCCTATCTCGTCCTCTCCGTATTCTTCCATATGCTCGGATCGAACTGATCGATCGTTGTGATTTTCTCGTTGGAAATGCGCGTGGATGTAGCGGTGAGGCCGAAACTTTTTTTCCTGTGCCGTGGGGATCGAGCCATCGAAATGGGCCCCGTAGGCGACTGTAGGAGTTTCGTTCGGATCTGTATAGGCGACTAGCGCGAGCCCACGAATGGGGAAGCCAATCTGCTTGGCGCAGTGCCTGACCATCATTTATGGAGTCTGTACTCCGTATACCGCTGGATCGTGTGTTCTCATGTGCGACCCTTGCAGACCGCCTTGCTGTTGTGTTCGAAGTGTGCAGCAATGCGAGTCATGGCCTGAGCTTGACAGACAGTCGGTAGGTAAGTGTGTGTATGGAGGTGTATGCAGCATGGATGGGCACATCGGTCAAGTACCTATCCCACCACAATCACCAGATCTGTCGCAAATTGACTATGAAAGACCAACTCGACTTGTTGACCATCATCAGATCAATACTCTATCCTCTCTGAATGCTCGGCAATCGCGCCGAAAACGATGATGTCGCGCGAGGCGATTCTGCCGCGTCTGGCCGCCTCCGCAAGGTCTGCTTCATTTTGTC